GTGTAAGGCCGAAAAGCAGTATTTAAGTCCTGGGCTGCCCACCACCCATAAGAGCTCTTTTGGGAGGTGACATTAAGATCACTAAATTTTGAGGTCATTATGGTATTTAATACTAAAATAATAAAATCTAATTAAAGGAAATAATACAAATAATCACAGCGTGTTTTGCAATTTTGGATATATTTACCAAAATACCCCGCCAAAATTGTATAAATAGGATCTATTTTTCAACATGAAGGAGGAGAGAAAAATAAAGAGTTAAGTTCACACGCTAAAGAAAGCTTGAAGCCAGCGACTATGTACCAATAATCTTCATGGACTACCAATAATAATTATGTAGCACAACTACAATCATACAATCGTTATTGCCCGATTATTATCTCCAGACAGTTGTTATCTATTCATTGTAATATGATCAACGTTAGTGTTTATCAACACCTATTATAATCACAGAGGGATAAAATTTCTCTTACTTTATAAGCCTATTTTCTCTAAAAGTAAATCTCTATAATTTCAACTGTATAGTAGATAGTTTTGATTGAATCATATCCCATAATTTTTGTCTTCCCAAATTTTTCACAAAAAAAATCTTGCCATCTCTTAGCACTTCTATCTTTGAATTTGTTGGATATCTCTACCTAGCGAAAACTTAATATTTCTATAATGTTGGGAATTATCTAACACAATGTTTTGGTGCCATCTATGAAAATTGATTTTATGCTTGGGCATGGGGCAACTCTATTTGCAACCTCAAAAAAATGTTCATGTTAATGTGCTGAGAATGGTTGTAGCAGGACACTCTCCTTGCCATCTATGAGAATATTAGTTTATTATCCCAATTTTTTCAGAAATTCTTGCCTCTAGTAAAGGACTATCATATACATTTAACCATCTTCAAATGTGTCCTTCTGTCAAGGTTTTCTTCCCACATACAGAGATTAAGAACATTCTTAATTCTACTCTCTTCCAAGGAGAGCATGAACTTAAATGGGAGATTTAAGAAAATTTTGAAGCCCGAAAGATTCTTAAGCTTCATTAGTCCATCATCGTCTTGCCAAAATTGACACCTTTACACCACTGGTATTATTGTACAACCACCATACCACTGTCATCCAACTTTCCCCCACAGTGTCTCTTAATTAATCTATATTCTTTTGCTTAGCACCATCCATTTATTGTTTGAGTCATTCAATCTCTCACTATGACTACAATCACTTTACTACAATTATCTAACCTCTAACATTCAATTATATATAATCACTTGCCAACAATCACTCAGTTATTGATTTATGATAATTATATATTGATTATGGTCAATCACATCTCTGGATCATATTGCCTATCAACTTCAAAGTTAGTATCTGCCAATTTAATTGAATGTCATTGCCTATAAGGTCAATGTGCTCCTTTAATGCTCGACATCACTTATTAAGCCAAGCATTACATCTTACAAACTCTTCAAAAGTACATGATTTGTAATGCAATGATGTAAATATTAATTATGTAAATATACATGTCGATAAAGTAGTATACAAATTCTGAGTTTGAGTTATCAGTCCTAGAGGAATAAGTTAAATTTTATATAGTTCAATTGCTAGTCTACTAATTCTAGGTTTAGTCCAACATGTTGCACATTTTTTAAAGGTTTTCTAAAAGTCCGAAATTTTTAATGTTAAAACTAATGATATTTAGGTTTCTTGCTATTGGTGGAAAGTTTTCCTTGATGTGGATCGTGTGAAAATTCAATGTTAATCCACTGAATTTTCTCTTATTGAATTTCACTACTAGGGACTATAACTTCTTACTGTATTCCTAGAAATAAAAAAGCATTGAAGTCTCATGTTATGGTTAAGTCCATTTAACTCTACAAAATATCTTAAGATTACATATTCCTCTATATGATGGCAATTTCTAATGACAATATTTTTATATCACCAAGAAATTATGTGTTGACATAATTATTCTTGTAGTTCAAAGTCAATTGTTCTAGCTCACAATTGATTTTAACTATTTTGGTAGTCAGCAAGAAAGTAAATAAAGTTTTAAATGTTGACATATCAACATGCCATAATTTGCTCTAAAAAAATTACATGAAATGGACTAGATGTTCACATCATAAATCCAAAGAAGTACGAAAATTAGTTCCTAAACATGTGTGAAGAAAACACAATAGATTTCATTGAAATAAAAATCAAAGTTTACAAAAATAATGAAAAGATCAAGCATAGTTTGCATCTCCTATTTGCTCCAAGATGATCCTCTATTTTACAATGCACTCTTCCTTCTTGATTCGTTTACAAACGCTCTCACAAAGCTTTCTTTGTGTTTATCCAATGTATGAACTCTTCCACTTACGTTAAATTGAATTCATTTGAGTATTTACTTCATTTGAACTATCCACAGACTGCAGAAATCACCTGATATCAATGGGGAGTGCTAGTAAGGTGGCATCAGTGCATGTCTTGAACTTCATCCATAAAAATAGGTCTTTGAGAGGGGCTTTGTTGGTTATGGCGGTGTGTCGATATCAGTGCTTGGCACTGGGGCTCTTGGCACTTGTTGTTACAATGTCCTGCTTTCTATATTTTGGATTAAAGTTACCTAATTCAATTTTTTATGTGCTCGGCATTGGTCATCGAGGTGTTAGCCTACAAGCAATCTAATTTCTTCATTGTGCTTCTTCCATCCCTGTAGATTGCATAAGAACACAACATACACAAAAAAAGCCTAAAAATTATATAAAACATGTACAAAAAACACTTTGATACTAGATAATGTTTTATACATTAAATTCTCACAAATATAAGCATTACTACTTGACCTCAAATAATTCAATACATAGATTTAAACTTTGAAAATTCATGGTAACTCTTATCTTATGATTTTATTTCTCTTTAATAATATAATAAATATATTAATCAAAAGTACACAAATATCATTATGGTATTGAATTATTTTATTGATGAAAAACTTGTAGTACCCACCTTGTAACCTCATTATATTCAATTAAAGTTGTGGCATACTCTTGACCTATAAGAAATCTACAGATGATCGATATAATGAGTCTTAAGATCACCACTCGGCACAAATATTATATGATTTGTTTGTTTGAAGATTGATTGTGTTGGTATACATAGAGGTTGGCTACGACCTTCTGTGTAGCTCGGGTTGTACTTATCAGA